TTAATGTTGCCTGAATGCCTGTGGGTGGACAGTGGAGGCGGACGCGTTGACTGTATGTCGATGCTTCACCCGTCTCTGTGCACTTGGTTCGAAAGTGACCGACTTTACCGCTGCGTGAGGTTAAGGTACGAGGGCATTGTGAGAACAGGATATGGGGATTCGCCGTGGATTGTGATGCTGTCACTGGGGGAGCGTGCGCTTATGTGAGGGCTGTGAATGGGAGAACCGTCGTGACCAGAATACCAAAGTGTGGACGAACCTACAGTAGATCCCCTTACTCGCGTTATGTCAACTGAAATTCTAAAATGTGTTTTCGATTCGAACAAATTGATTACCTGTGCTTGTAATGCTGATTAGCGTATACAATATAATGCACAACCATTGGAAGATTGTATGAGAAGTACATGATCTCTTCCTCGCGCAGAAGAGACATATTTTATCCCCCTTCGACAGCATGAATTCAAGTGTAACGGTCAGTAGGGTTCAAAATTATTCGGCTATTTAGGAAAAAATTGAAAACCGAAAGATGCCCTTTCTTTAAGTATAAGATTTGAAAAAAGCTTTATTTGCTACCAAACAAGTGAAAAAAAACTTATTTTGTGCTTGTTTTCCATTAAAAAAAATTTGAATTTATAAGATGATAAATGCAATGCTAAACATACATTCTACTGAAGTAGCCATTTTCTAAAGGATATACTTTTTTTCATGGGGTCAGGAAGATGTTTTATCAGAAGCCGCCGTCCTGACGTTACTGAAATATCTTGGGATTAGGCCGCACAGTAATCATTATTACAACTCTACTTCAGTAATTTATTCGGATCGCAAAATAATTTAAACATCTCGGTTGACGTTTCACGAGATAGAGAATATACTGTACTTTCGTCGGTAAACACATTCCCGCCATTGTCAGTGTTAGGTTGCATTTAAGGTGACGGTTGTGTTAATTCCATACTTCCCATGTTCACTACAAAATGTACAGTATATACATACAGATACTGAGAGTAGAAATGAGGTGGATAGTCATCGTTTATCGTGTCGACAGATGTACTGAATTGCTTAGTAAATTAGTGTGAGTTAGAATTACTCTAGCATCTGACATTTTTACTCTCTGAGGGAGGAAGTAGTCTATGCAGAGTTGGCATGATTACGCCGTATTGCACGGTTACTGGGATCATATCAGGTTTGCGAACCTTTCTGTTTGCTTTTGCAGGTAATATCGCCCAGCAGGGGCCCGCATCACGCCCCTAGCGAATGTGACCTGACCTTGTAACTATCTATTATTCTTTGCAAAAATGCATGTAAACTTCGAACCTGCTAGGCGTAGAACCGACTCTTCTGTTGAATATCTTAGGTGTGTCAGCATTAATTTCAGCACTGTACTGCTTACCTTCGAAACGCAAACAGCCCGTTTTAGTTATTCAGAAAGTAGGCCAAGGATCTACTACTTCTGCGTTAAGTGTCTTTTGTATAATCACTGAAATTACTGTCATCCGAGCGTTGATTCTTTGAAACGCAGGACAAAGGTTATATTGTCATCCATTCCCATGCCCAACGTTTGCACAAGTTGGACTTTGATCAGAGGTTTGTGTGGGCCAAGTTTCACGTTTTCAGCAGCTCTATTGAGGACCGTGTTTATTCTTATCGAAACCCCCCCAAGAGGGTTTCCATCTATGCCCGCAACACTTTGCCGCTTCCGACTGAACCGTGCATTTTTGGAAGTATAATTACAAGGAAAAGTTAAAGAATACTTTTAGACAATTTGCTTTGCCGTTATTCGGTATGTTAGACGTCTTAGCACTCCATACCCTATTATTCGTTGCGAATATTTTGATGCAAAGTGCATGGGCTAGTCGTCGGATCAGTAGGTGAAGTAGATGGTGATCCCTACGTTTCTACGCATTATGGGCCGCCTTTGCAGGAATCGCTCGTTTTCCCTCACGTTGTTGTGTCCAATGAATGCGCAAATGTAGCTTTGCCTGGCATTCAAAACACAGGGCCCACTTTTGGCAGTGGCTTTCTGAAGGAGGCGTCTGCTTCCGCAGGACCTATGCTATTTTTTAAACTGTGGGTTCTGAAGTTCGGGAAATTTTACTTGCAATATTAACTTTCATCAAAGCCAGTTCTATACCATTTATGCGTCAGTGCATGAAGGACCCCTGCAATTCTTGAAAACAAACGGAGCCGAAGCAGCTGAGCATATCGCTGCAGAGCTCGGTGTGGGTATTGTTCGTCGTCCAACAGATACCACGCGTTCGCGGGTCATGCAAATAAAAGACCGACTGGAGATAGGTGTGCAGTTAAGTGTCCTCCATCAGGTGCCATGTCGCGACTGTTCTTTCCATTATACAGGGCAGACCGGGCG